GGATCGAGCCCCGCATCGGGCTCCCTGCTCAGCGGGAAGCCTGTTTCTCCCTCTCCCACTCCCCCTGCTTGTGCTCCTTCTCTCGCTGTCTCTCTGTCAAATAAATAAAATCTTTAAAAAAAAAAATGGCTGTCATTTGAAGCCACTGAAAGTTTTAGGGTGATTTGCTGGACAGTAGTAGATAACTGAAATAGAAATTCAACTCACTTTTAGCAATCATTCAACTGTTTCCCAGCTTTGATGATCACAAGAAACTCTTCCTCATATTCATTACAATTACTCCTCCTTCAATTTAAGCCCATTTCCTCTTAAATCTTTGAAGTACAGGAAGAACAATTAATCAAAATGCCCCCGGCAAAAACTATTCTTATACTTGAAGATGGTAATCAAGCCATCCCTTAGCTTTTCCTTCTGTAAGCTAAAATCATTCTTTTTTTTTTTTTTTTTAACTTATAATGACAGGACTTATTTTTAAACTTTTTAATCATTTTTATCCTCTCAAGTATTGGGGCAGCAGGGATGGGGGGAGAACGACAAAATTGGATGCCACATGCCAGTATCTAACAGAGACTATTTCCTAGCCCTTATGGTTCATCTTTCCATGATCCAATTCCACAAAAGTTTATTACCCTACAAATGTAATCATTTACTGAAAATACTATGAAATGTTTTGGGCTCTTAACACTCAGCTTACTCTATCTTGTGCTGACTCCCTTCACTCATCAACCTGGTTTGACACTCCATTATTGAAATAGGTTTTTAATAAATTTTAGATATTTGAAGCACAATAGAAAAGCTTGAGGTTGGAGTGGGCACACCATTAATTTCAATCAAGGTCTCTAAACACAGTCAAGGCCTTTCTGTAGGTCAGGCAGGCTCTGGGTATCTCCTTCTACCTTGATGGTAAAGTGGCCTTATAAAAGGCAAGATCTTTAGCACTTGCCTATTAAGCAAAGGCACCTTTTCTGTAGAACCCAATAGGATATATTTAACTACAAAGAGACAAACCAGTTGCTTAATGCAATGTAAAAACATGTTGTCTCTCTGAAGTCTTACCTGAATGGACGCTTCAATGTCAAAAGTAGCTTTATAATCACTAGTAAAATAGGCATAATAAAGCCTACCCAACACAGAGTACTGTAGGTATCATAAAATGATACAAGGGAAATAATCTTGTAAAGTATTATAAAAATGTTAGGTGATATTGTGGAACTAAGTTTAAGTTTCAGCAAGCCCAATAAATCTTCAAATTAACTTTGGATGGTTACCTGATGATTTCAGGTGAAATATATGGAATAGCACCATGGGCTCAAGTTCATCAAACAGGAACTAAAAACATGCCACCTCACAAGAGAGCTTATGGATTTTCTACTACTACCAAGACTAATAAACATGTTTGGACTAATGGTTTGAACCTGGGGACCCATTTCAGCCACTGTCTGATGGTGTCAGTCTCTAGGCCAGGGAACAGGTTCAGTGAAGGAACAGTCTACTAGAAGAAAGAGACAGTGCTGTGGAAGTCCAAATAAGTACTTTGCAAGTCAGAGCAAGGGAGGCCACTAGGAAGAGACAGAGTCCTAGAACAACATCTATAGCCTGGGACTGGGAAAATGGGAGCAGTTCAGTGAGGATGGAGAGGAGAGAAATGACTGGGGAAAGGAAGGAGATGAGCCAGGTAACATTAACAGGTAGGACAGGGTCACATCGTGAAGGGCTTTACCTATCAAGCTAAGTAGAAAACAGGAAGCCAATGGCACTCTGAAAACCTGAGCATGATTTGGGCCTTTAGGAAGATAACTTTGGCAAAATGTGGAGGAGACAGGAGCAGAGAGAGACCTACAGTGGAGTGGCAAAAGCCGAGTCAAGATTTGATGGAAGGTGCACCTGGCTGGCTCAGTCAGTACAGCATGCAACTCTTGTTCTCAGGGTCATTAGTTCAAGCCCCACACTGGGGGTAGAGGTTACTTAAAAATAAATAACGTCTTAAAAAAAAAAAAAAAGATTTGATAAGGCTCTCAACCAGAAGTTACAAACTCAAATTCCTGGAGGCAACGTGGATAAAATGTGGTATCTTTAGTCTTTAACATCTGGGAGAATGGTTACCTGTAATCTTTGAAGAGTGCAGGCCCTGCCTCAAAGTATTCACACACAAAATTCGAAGCCACTGGGCTGGTTAAACAAAATGTCTAGTTTATGACCTCTAGTAAATTAAGGCAATACAGTGGGAATGAAGAAAAGCCACACATCAATCAAACAGTACTCCAATAATATCATCAAAAGCGCTTAGCAACCACAGATTTAGCATACTTAGGTGACGTGAGGTATAAACAGAATGAAGAGGAAGACCTGGTGGACATAATTAACAGAGTTCAAACCTACAGCAATATAAGTAGCCAATGGATACTGGGTGGGGGAGATAACGTATGCCATTTAAGATGCCTTTTGAACACTCTGGTACGTTTGTCAAGTTGGATAAAGTTTATCAAGTTGGAAATAAGGATCTAAAGCCTGGGAGAGACAGTTGGGCTGCTAGACATACTGAGGACAGCTGAATTTATGGGCCTATTAGAGATCCCTGGAGTAAGGGGGGTGGCAGGGGAAGAGTGGAAAGATGCTCAAGGTGAAGTCTTGGAGCCTCTCAACATTTATGGGATAGCCAAAAGAGAATGCAAAGAAATAATAGGACACTCTCTAAACTCAGAAGATTCAAGGTAACCGCAAAGCCAAATGAAGAGGGTCACTGGGGGAAAGAAGAATGGCCCAAAAGTGCCACATGCCAGGCCGAGATTAAGTGAGGTGGAGGCTGAAACCGCAACACTGAGTTCGGTAATCTGGAGTTTACTTGTGATCTTCAGGAAACATGAGTAAGGTAATGTGGGCAGAAGCCAAAATAACAAAGCGTTGATAAGAGGCTCAGAGTTGAGGAAGTACAGCATAGGTTCTTCCTCACTCTCCCCTTACTGAGAATCAACTATGTGCCAAGTAAATGGATATCATTCTAACAAAACAGACACTGATTCTCGACATACCCTATGATCAGAGTAAATAGAGTGTTCCCCTGAGTTCTCATCCAGTCTTGGTGAATAGGAAGAGACTTCATGGAAGAAGTGACTTCCGGGCTGAAGCCAGCCGGCTGGGTAAAGCTGGGGCAGGGTGTTGCAGAGACAGCTGGCTTGTGTACGGGCCTGGGGTGAAAGAACACCTGGGCCATTTGAGGGGAAACCGTAAGGAGCAGAAGCAAACTTTGAGAGGGGCAACTGCCTAGCAGTGAGGCTTAAGGGGTAAAAAGTTTGGAAGTGAAGAGCAGGAGGGAGATAGAGCAGTAGTCTGAACAGAATTAGGGATGAGGTGAGGTTCTTCATAGTCCCTCAGAGAAAAATATGGAAACTCACTGGTAGGGCAGTGTTCCCTACAATTCAATATTCCCAATGATTAGATAATAAAATACATTTGCTTCTCTCTTGTCCTTCAATAATGGTTTAATTTGACTAAACTACTTCTCACAAGACACAGAAAGGACAGAAAATACAAGAGCAAAAGATGGATAAAGCTGTAAACCTGACATGTTTGTCTTCTCTAAGGTTTCTATGATAAATGGTCTACTTAGGACTAAAACCACATCCAGATCCCAAATGAAATGAAACTTTTCCCCCTTAAGACCCCTCCAAAGGGCTGAGGGACTGACTTTAAGGTATCCCAATTTCTAAAGCAATTCTGAAGACAAAGGATTTCCCCAGTTCCTCCTGCAGCTCGGTTTAGCTAATGAAACAGAGAAAACAGTCTGGGGTTACCTGATTTTGCCTGTTTCAAAACATGACCACAGCAGAGAGCAAGCTTCCTCCAGTTCCTGCCACTGAGGTCCTTGGAGCCATTTCAGATGAGCTCATCTCAGGAACGAACAGCAGCAGCTTGCAGGCAAAGTGAATGGTGCCGCCTGGGGACGTATCTTTGGTAAGCAAGATTGCAACAGAGCAGGCAGTTTACCCAGGGCAGTGCTGACTCATGCGAGGCAAAACTCCTATTTCCCAAACAACCCAGCCGGAGCCAACCACAATCAACTGCAACTCAGAAAAGAAGAGGCGCCCCACTGATTTTTTTAAATCCAGTGCTGATTACTGGGGGCAGGTCCCTCATTGCCCTCCTGCTGGTGGCTCGGCTGCCCCTGGAGCCCTTACCTGGAAGGCTCCAGTGGTCACTTTCTGAAATTTCGTTTGAGAACAGCCCGGGCTCAGGACAGCAAGATTACTGAAGGTAGCAGGTTCACAGCCCTGAAGATTTCCCCCAAGAGGCTGCTAAAGAAGTCACTTTGCATTTACAAATTAGAACCTCTGGGTCAGAGGAAATGGGGAACTTGCCCCGTCATCGCTAGGCTGGTCAAATCATCAGAGTGTATTTTTGTCAGCTTTAACCAGGCTCCCAGTTCTTTTTCCCCCACTAGGCCATCCCTGACCTCTCTATTTCCTTAGACAACGCAGAATCTCTAATTAACACAGAAGTAACTGAAGGCTTTAATCAGCTGCCACACACAGCTAAAGCCACATTATCCACCATCACACCTACCGGATGCTTAAGGAATCCAGGAGTCTGTGAAAACTGTATTAACACTTGCTTTTAAAAGAGAAATCCCTAAATCCGTGTCGATTCTCATTTATTGGCCAGCTTATTAAAAAATCAATTCTAGAATGACTGGCTCATCAACAGCTATTAATTATTATTGAATTTGCCCTGACCAGCTAGAATGGGCTTTGGTGCTATATAAAGAAAACAAAAGATTAAGCCCTTGCTTTCTGTGTTATTGTTGTCTTTTCATTTGACAAGAAAGAAACATTAAAGTTCGTATCAGATCGTTCTGTTCCCTACTCAAACTTCCCAAGGCCATCAGCTCTTCCTCAGCATGGACATTCAAGGCCACCACACCTAGCCTTGTCCATCCTTCAAGGTAGGTCCCACGTGGCGTGAACTCCAGATGTAGCTGCCAACCCAGTTTGTCACTCAATAAATGCTATTAGGTTAATAAAAATGTATGTGCAGACCGTCAGAATTTGGGTTTAAAAACTATGCTACTTAATTCTATTCCTTTTCAAGGGGCTAGTTTAAAAAAAAAGTTATTTATCCAATTGGCTTAATTCCCCTTAATTACACTATTCCAGTAGGATAGCCACACTGAGCTTTTATAAGGTTTTATAAAATGTTCCCTCTTTTATTCTTCCCTTTCAGTGTTTTCTTTTTCAGGAAATGGCTGTGTTTAAAGTTTTCCTACAGTATGTGTTAATTAGTTCTTTTCAAATGATAAAAGCGTCTTTACAGCAGTTGGCAACCATTATCTCATGGAGCACACTTTAAGAAATATTTCTGTAGTTGATGATAAGTCACAAACATTCTAATATGGAGCAACCCTCAAGACACGTACAAAATGGACAAATAGGAAACCTCTTTTGAAAAAACACATTATTGTTAGAAGCTTCTGGCGTGTTCTATATATTAGTAAACTTTAAATAAGGATGAGAAAATTCAGACAGTACTGTGCCCAAGAAGTAAATGTGAATTATATAAAGAGCAACACGGCAGCCAGAAGCATCAGAATTTCCTAATTCTGCTAAAATAAACACCATTTAGCAAGTGAGGAGAACCATCGCAGATTATCATTTCCCTGTTTGAATTTTTTTGGTTTTGCAAGAAACACATATTCAAATATCACTTGGTAATTTAAATTGGGTTAATTTTAAATTTTTTACCGTTTTATGAACTAATCTTTTCCCTTTCTCTCCCTTTTCTCTTAACATCTCCCTTTTACCTACTTTCCCCTCCCTAACATCCTAAATGATACTGCACATTTATTCTGTTCAACAAATTAATCCTATTTATGTCTATATCCTTTTTCTTATTGAGAAGGGGTTGAACTGATAAATCCAAGTTTCCAGGAACCAGTGGCTGGCTGTCTCACCTTCTTGAAAATTAGGGACATTGCCAAATTCTAACCTTCGGAGTTCTAGGATCTTATAATGTTTAAAAAAAACAAACAAAAAACTAGAGTACCTCCTCTTCAAAAAAGACAAATGAGCATCAGCCAAACATCTATCATCTAATAAATCACAGAAATTAAACATGAGAAATGAAGTAAATTTTAGGATACTCGAGAATCCACTCTAGGGGTACTTAACAATCAGCAGGGGTGCTTATTAAAAATGGTTATTTCCCATCCCAGTCCCTCAGACATTCTGGATTAGCACAAATGGAGAGTCCCCAAAATCAGAATTTTCAATAAGGAACTCCCTCTCCCACGTGATTCTGATGCAGGTGGGCCTTGGCTATTTTGAGAGATGGGTCATACAGCTATGTTCCCTGAGCACTCACTGTTCACAGAATGAAAAGTTTTATTTCAAAGACCACCAAAATGAACAGTAGTCTCACTGAGTAGGTCTTAGACATTAGTCCCCTTACCCACCAGAACCGCCAAGAACATAACAATTGAACTGTATTTATTTTGTCAATTGGGCCATTATTTTCTTCAAGACTCCAGAGACAATTATCCTAACTACTCTTAAGGATTTTAGCTGTCACCCACAGTCATTATACGGAGACATCTTCACACCTGGGATGCAGTACAAGGGGCTTAATGGAATTTTTATGGCCGTGAAAATTGAAGTTCACTTGACTCAACAGAATAGTCAAATAAAACAAAGGATAAAACCTCCCCAAAGGTGCGGGTTGAAAGTAGAGGCTTTTGACTTCCTGATGAGGCAGTTTTGCCCAGAAATTCAAACCATGGGATGCTATGTAGCTCATATGTCTTCAGAGTACCCAAATGCCAACTTATCACCACGGCATCAGCCGACGCAGGCTCACTGTAACATTTGGAAGCACAAACCTCCTGTATAAAATGGCCTCTCCTGGGAGACAAACTCTGTCGCCATGGCGGGGATCATTCCATCTTGGGGCCAGAAGGACCAGGCAGTCCCTTTAATCTTTAACGAACCACTTTCATGTTCAGATGTAGGAACTGGCACTGCGTGAGGCTCAACCTGCCTCACAGCACTTTGCTGCACAACCCCCCCACCCCCCGGAGCTGTGTGAGGGCACGCGAAGTGAGTCTGTCCTTGCTGGTACAGTTACCAGAATCTGTCCTATAACGTAATTGTGGGCACTTGATTATCCACTGTGGTGTAATAGTTCAGAAAGGTATCCAATATCAAGGGTACAGCAACTGCCTACCTCAAGCACAGTGAAATACTAGATCCCTAAATGTCAGGGAATTGAAAAAGTAGCGAGCCTGCAGGAAAAGGAGGAGTCCAAAGCTGACAGGACACAGGCTGAGGCCCTAATAACAAGATGGGAGGTGGGGGGAGGAAGTCAGCGAATCAACAAAACTGCCATCCTGGGCAGCTCACTTTAGAAACCTGGCAACAGGGGCACCTGGATGGCTCAGTCGGTTAAGCGTCTGCCTTCAGCTTTCAGGTCATGATCCCAGGGCCCTGCTCACTGGGGAGCCCGCTTCTCCCTCTCCCTCTGCCACTACCCTCTGCTTGTGCTCTCTCCTTCTCTCTGTCAAATAAATAAATAAAATCTTGAAAAAGAAAAAGAAACCTGGCAACAGAAATCTTGGAACCGTTTGACAGTGTAACTTTCTATACAAAGCTATTTCTTCATTTTTTCCCCTGAGCTGCTAATACAGAAGGGCAGGGAAAGGCCCTTGTCATCCAACTCCCATCACCAAAACAACTCCCATAGCTCTATAATGGAGTGATTAGTAAGCTCAGGTCCTATTCCCCAGTAACCAACCACCCTCTCAGAACAAAGATTCTGTCATTCAACTCGAAAAATTTCTTGAATTCACAATTCTTCTTTACTGTATACCTCTGGATTCTTCTCCTCAAATACATCCACACACACTCTCTTCTTTCTCTCTACTCCCTGCCACCTCCTATAGTCACACCCTGCCTCCAATAAGTCAAACTTACTAACTTTTCACGTTGGTTTCCATTAAAAATGCCACAAGATTTAGTTACCTTCTCGCAGGTTCCCAAGCCTAGGGGGGCCTTGTTGACATGTGTTTCATGTGGACGGGTGACTTCTAGCCAAGTAGATAAGGTTACCTGTTCACCTACAGTTAATCTTCAAACTAGCTTATGTAGGCTATGGAAATAAAAGGATAAGACGGCACAGCTTGAATGTCCCAACAAGGTAATCAAAATAATGAAAGAGACAGAGAAGACAGAAGAGATTTCAAAATAAAGACTAAACTGTGCATTTCAGTAGCACTTAAGAAAACACTCCATCTGACTAAGCACTTGATGAGTAGACTAATACCCAAAGGACTGTACATTCTCCAAAGATTACTGTGCTCACAGTTCTTGCTTTCTTCAAGGTTCATAAAATCAGACCTGCATTATTTATAATAAAGCAGATAGGCAGATCCTAACATCCAGAATTTTACTGATTTCCTTGCAAATAAAGCTACAACCTTATTTCAACCCAAACCCATGTAACAAGGAATAAAATATATTTTGTTTTGGTCTTTCAAAGGTATCTCTCAATGCCCCCCCTTTTTTTTTTTAAGATTTTATTTAGGGGCGCCTGGGTGGCTCAGTTGGTTAAGCGACTGCCTTCGGCTCAGGTCATGATCCTGGAGTCCCGGGATCAAGTCCCGCATC